TCCAGTGGGTGGTGGGAGTCAAAACGCAAATATTGGTCTGTGTGGGTAGGCTTACGGTATACSCCAGTTTCCAACCGTCCTCCATCCGAACCCGTCCAGAAGACCTATACAATTTTTTTTCTTTTTGATTTTTTTACCAGGATTACTGAGATGCATCAGGACACTTTCCTTTTTGTATTTCTAGTTTTAGTAAGATGATTATTTATGTTCTGAGACTTTGAAGTGCCAGAGGTCTTCTTGTGTCTAAGCTGGAAATGGTGTGTTTGCAGGACACAGCAGGGCAGGAGCGCTACAGGACCATCACCACAGCCTACTACAGAGGAGCCATGGGCTTCCTGCTCATGTACGACATCACAAGTCAGGAGACGTTCTGCGCTGTTCAGGATTGGTGAGTTGATCCAAAGCAAACACGGAGGTGAAACAGCCCTGTTTCCAAATAAGCTGAGAAGCTGCGTGAAGTACAAAGAACACAAAGTGAAACACTTTGTAAATCATTTAAAACAAATTATCTTTCTTAAATTAATATTTTATTAATTGCAAGCTCATTATAACTCTGATCAAAGCAAGAAATTTCAAACCTGCGACGCCTTTTGCCAATTTTTTAATCTTTCATTCTGGATTAAACGCTTTGAGCTTTTCATCCGTTCTGAGTTCCCTTTGCAGCACTTTTTTTTTGTTTTGTGTCGCTCCAGATTCTTTGAGTTAATGAAAGCACGTCATCAGACAGGTCAGTGGAAAGTCTGAAATGTTTTACTTGATTCAAACCTGCTAAAACACAAGCAAAATGTTGAGTGAAAGGGTCAGAGGTGGTAAAGATAACCACATGCCAGATGTTTACATACACTGGATAAAATGACAYGAATGATTTATTTATTTTTTACTCAGTCAGACTAAACGTTGCCCGTTTTAAGTCTACTGGGACTCCCAAAACTATTTTTCTTTTTAAATGAGGGGTAATATTTTAAAATAATTACATCAAAATCACAGCTTTACATCAATTTTCTTAATATTTGGTAGCATAAACAAGACACCTGTTCTACTTCCCTGAGACAWAATCCAATATGACCCAAATGTGCAACTCCTTCCTTCTGTAAAGTTTTGCTTTGTGCTGGGATGACTGCAGGCTGCCACTTACTGTAAYGCCTTAAGAGCACTGAGGCCAAAAATAAATTACTTCCTGTCCATGTGTCTGTGAGCTAAAGTATCCCTAACCTTCAGCTGTATTCAGATTTAAAAAATGGCAAAGTGAGCCATTACAGCTGTAACAGTTAATGTGTAGCTTAAAGGAACAGTAAAACCTTGTCATAAAAACACCTGTGATGGTCACATTAAAGCTGCAGCTTAACAGCTGCTAGGAAATGACTAAAAACTGAAATAAAAGACCTGAAAATGTAATAAAAGGTGTGTACTTTTATGTCTTAGAACTAAAAGCTCTAAAGTTGTAAATGTTCAACAATATTAAGTATTTTTAATATATCAAACACATTTAGAATAACAAAGACCATGTTTACAAGTGAATGTGTTGTAGCTGTTTGGGGCAAACCTGAAAGCTCACAATATTTTAGTGTTCGACTAAGTGTCGGGGATGACTCTCAGCTACTACCACATCTAATTTGAACCCAGTATCTGTACAGTCATTTGGGCACCTGTGTTGGCTCTTTAATTWGATAGACTTCAAATTGTACTCTGATATGGATGTATACGGAGGACCGAAACTGACATAATTAAAAATAAAAGCAGAAATACTGTATATAGATGGCCTAAAAAATAAAAAATACTTAAAATGCACCATTTTATTTTAAAAAAGGAGAGCACTTCCTCTTGTTTTATAGTTCAATTGACCTTCATATTTGTTTTTTGTAAAACATGGGGGGAAATTCCCATTTTTTCAAATTAATTGGTGCATTTTAAATGTATGTATTTATTTGGCCATTTATATGTTTTGATTTATTAATTTTTTAAATTATGTCAGCTTTGGTCCTCCATACATGTACACCATTKATGTTAACAAAGAGGGTTGACTTTRAAAGTTAAARCTGYGGCTTTTTTAGATACATARCTTTTRCTAATTGACATTTTAAAATGTCTAAAGGATTTTGKAGTGCCCTGAGATGACTTTGGTGTGTATTGGCGCTCTATAAAAAAGCTGAAATAAATAYAATTGATAGTTTAAAGAAAACATCTCACACATTGAGTCATACCTTGTGTCTGTTTTCAAATCAGAGCTGAAAACTGGTCAAATAGATTTAACATCATTTTTGATTAAGATCGTTTAGTGAAAGCGCTGTGGCTGTTTCTCAGGGCTACCCAGATTAAGACGTACTCATGGGACAGCGCTCAGGTGGTGCTGGTGGGCAACAAGCTGGACTTGGAAGACGACAGACAGGTCCCGACAGAAGACGGCCGAAGAGTGGCCAGAGAGCTGGGTGAGCGAYCGAACGTGCATCAACACGTTAACTTACTTTAAAGGGTTTAACTTCTCTTCTCCCTTCACAGGCTTCCAGTTCTTCGAGGCCAGCGCCAAGGACAACATCAACGTGAAGCAGGTCTTCGACAAGCTGGTGGACGTTATCTGCGAGAAGATGAACGAGAGCGTCGACGAGGCGGCCCCTCCATCGGTCAGTCCGAAGGGGGACGCTCTGAAGGACGCGCCCGTCACCAGTCAGGGTGGCTGTGCATGYTGATCCATGTCCCCAGAGGTTCTTCTAACATGTCACGCACTCAAACAGGTCACCTAAAAATTGCCAAAAACACTTTCACTTCTGTTACTTTCGTTTGATCGTCTCTAAATTCGGCGGTGATTCGAGCGCTTCCTCGTAGTCGCGGCACGACTGTTAACTCTGAGATGCCAAAGAGCTGCGCCTCGCCTCGGCCTTCGCTGATCCAGGGCAGTGGGTGAGCAGCAGCCTGCTGTGGGTGAGGGCGCGAGTGGCAGCCTTACACCAGATTAGCATGGCCAGCGGACACGCATGAAGATTGATTTGTGACACGCTGCTCTCTTGTGGCCTTTTAATGAAACTGCATCACTGTTCCTTCACTGAAAGGTTTCAACTGAAACATGCCTGAATGTGGATTTAATGTTTGTCTGTGGATGTTGTTAATATTTCAGGTGTAAAACACGTGCTTTGTTGTTTTGAACAGATGTTCTCTTCTATCTGTAATTTATCTTTCCTTCACTTTGTATATTTATTGATTAATGCCAGTTTAATATTTCACTTGTTGGGTTCAATACGGGCCTCTTAAAGTTGAGATTAAAAGATATAAATATGTACATTATGTCTCCYGGGCTTTTATTTACACAGGATATTTTTAGATTCATAACAATAATAATAATTCTTAATCTCAGACGTTTCAATGACGTCAACAGTGGTAATTATTCCCTGAAACAATAAATCAGTCATCTGGATGTGATGCAATGATGCAACCTCTATTCACAGAAACAAATCTTACAGATGAGAGAAATATAACTCAAAGATAAAAAGATCATAACATATTTTTATGTTTTTATTTAAACTTAAAACAAGAAGCTGAATTTGCCACTGAAATAAGTCTAAATAAGTTTTAACTATTTTTGTTTTTAGATAATACAGTATGAGTTTCCTCGCAAAGACTTGTCTGTGTTTAAATGTAGGAAATCATTACTTCAAGCTATGAATTGCTCGTAAGTCCCGTGACAATAAAATATTTAGTTTTCCAATGGAATTTGGTCACCAGGAAATGTTTCTTATTGTGTGATTAAAGCAACTTTTCCCGGTGACCTAAGTGAGTGACGCTGAGGGTATGAACTCTGGTTCACGTGTGTGTGTGTGTGTGTGTGTGTGTGTGTGTGTGTGTGTGTGTGTGTGTGTGT